GGTGCTCTGCTTCTCCTATGCATTAATCACCCATTTCCCCTAACCAGAAACTGTGAATTGTAAAGTCAAATTCTTCAGAGATCTCTGGATTTTGTATTTGTGAGTAAAATTTTGACTTTCTATTTCCTTAATGTCCTCTGCAGTTTACTTTAGACAAATATCCTTTTTGCTCCTGGACAAGGACCAGTGCAGTCCCAGTTGGGAAGATTCTGCTGGCAGGATCGGGATGGCCATGCCCCCAGCCCTCAGCTTTGCAGAGACAAATGAAGACAATGTTATGCGTTTGTAACTTCAGAGTTATTTGACTCCACAATTATACACTCCTGGGCATTTTCATATTTATGAGACTTAAGCCTCAGCTACTCTTAGTTCTTAGCACCCAAAAAGCAAGAGACTGGATGGACCCAGGATAGTTGTGAGCTACCCTGGCATTAAAAAGGGACAGATAAGCACCATAAAAAATTGTGTCGTTACCCAAACATAAGTAACTGGGTAAGGATCCTGCTGGGGTTACGAAGGACTATCCTATCCTGAGGAGTGTAGTCTGGGAGCTATAGGAAATATTCCCAATAGAGACACCCTATAAGCTTAATAGATCTTTTATTGTGTCCATTCAAATTAAACAGAAAGATTAAGTGTCAATTTAAGATGATTGTTTCAATGAATATGAACTAAGCAAAGAAAAAATATGTCCGTAGAGAAAATCCTGCCCTTGAGCTGATCTCTCTTTCTGAGTCAAAGTTTTGTCCGAGAAATTTCTCTTCAGGGAAGGGCTTTACATCCTCTGATTGTACAACCACATCTCTGTGTATTTGCTACCCCTAACTCTGTGGGATGGGGAATAAAGCCTGTGGGAGTTGGGTGAAGAGAGGGATAAAGAGCAGTGGGAGACTAGTATAGGTGCGCAGGAGAATGGAAGAAACAGCAACTGATCACTGTGAGTCCACCAAGTAAAATGTGCGGGTGCAGTCAGTCCACAGAGTAAAATGGGGGTCCCTTCCCAACAGAGACAGAGAGACAGGGAGACAGAAAACCACACCGTAAGTGAAAATGCCCCGTTTAATGCAGAACAGCTACCATACTTATAGAAAATCTGAGGGGGTGTGAGATAAGGACATAGGAGTTACTGATCATTTATGCAAATAAACATTTGGCAGAGGAAATTCCCATTGGGAGAGTCACCCAAGGAGACACTCTGTCTCCCAGGGACATCTACATTGCTTTTATCTTTTCATCTAGTTGTATAAGTTATCAATACTTGCAGATGTTTGGATAAACACAGTAAGAAACAAAGATCCCAACACTTAGTTCTCTGGGCTTTGAGAGCAAATAAGGATTTTAACACTTAATTCTCTGGGCTATGAGAGCAAGCAAGGTTTTACTGTAAATCCCAGACTAAGACCTCAGGCAACTTTGGCTTGTCCTTCCCCATGGGGCTCCTGTCTCTTAAGCTGTAACAGTTTGAATCAAGACCATGCATTTCTGCTTTCTACAATGTTCCATTTGGATACCAGGGTAGTTTTGCCACTTGTTCCAGGTCCATCCAAGTCCCAAGGCAGAACCTCCCTTTTGGGGTGTTAGGAAATACAGCAACTGAAGCATGAGTCAAGTAATGATGACCAAGCAATTATGCCCAGGGGTAGATAACTTCAGAGTCAATCAACTCCCAAATATTAGGAGCACAGCATTGATGTCTTTCTGCATTAACCATAGACAATGTTGTGTAGTAAAAACATAAAAAGCTATAGGGGAAACAGAAAAGCGGGCACAAATACACAGCACTTCAACTACAAAGCAGTACAAATATGAAGCTGAGAATTAAGAGAAAGTTATGGTTCATAAGTAATCAAGACTGACTTGGGGAACTGAGACAATGAGAGGTAAAATACAATGAAACGGTTAAAGATAAACTTTAACTACATTAGGGATGTAAGCAAGGACATGATAAGCTTCTCTGGGAGGAGCAAATGTGGAAATTCACAGATGAAACCTAAAACATTGTTAATATCCAGCAGATCACCAAGAGCCTGGCCCCTGTTTCCTTCTTCGATCCTCTGTCACCCTTCACCGGCCAGGGTGGGGCGATCAATCATTGCCACCAAATGCACGCAGCTCATGCCCATACATTATTTGAACACAACTCTCAGTACTCAGTGTAACAGTCGAGTTTTGCCCTGATCAGGGAGAGATGAAGAGTCGGGGTGCAATTTTCAACTTGATTTTAGGGTACAGAAATTCTACATGTTAGAAAAAACAACAACAATGTGGAGTCAGAGAGATAGTAAGCTAGGAGGGGCGCTTCCCTTGCTGACGCAGATTGATACTCGGCATCTCACGTGACCCCGAAAGATGATAAAAAAAAACGCAGAGTGCTGCTCCTGAAGTAACCCCGAGCTTCCATAGATGTGCTCAAAATACAACCAAAAATAGCCCAAAATTCAATTTTCACTTGCAAACCGCAACCACCCCTAGATCCTCACACACAGGATGGCCCTGGACATCAGGGCTACTATTGAATAGTGACCGAGGGCTACAGTGTCATTTGCCATTGGGGAGCTTCCCCTCTGCCCCTCTAAAATTAACAGTCCTTTTTATAGTTTTGGAGGCACCACCGACGATATGGACGAGAAACTTCTGACTCTGCGCTCAGGCACCCGTCCTGGTGGAGCTCGGAGATCAAACTTGGTGCGCCAGATGGAAAGCAAACGCCCTAATCGCTGTGCTATCTCTTCCGTCCTCTAAGAGAATCTGCAGGTTTTGCAGCATTGAGGTTCGGGCCAAAGCGTCCAGGACAGCGCCCAGCGCAGTCCCGTGCTGGGAGGGTCAGGACGGCCCAGTCCCCACGCTCTGCAGCCCCGGCGCTCACCCCCGCGCCCACCTGCCACTGCCCCACGGCGGAGCTGCAGGGGATCCACAGAACCACGCACTCACACCCGCGACCCCTGCGCCCCGGCACAGCCCCCACTGCACTCACCAAAGCTCCGCGTCACCCACCAAACCCCATCACGCCTCAGGAACCGCCAGGATATCGGGAAACGGCTGAAAAAGCGGCCTCCAAGGTGGCTTGGCCCCGCCCCTCTGTGCAGAGACCTGGAGGCGCCGGGAGGCCGCTAGCGTGCTGCCACGAAACCAGCCTTCACAGACCCCTTCCACGCGGGACAGCCACTTCGCCCCTCATCTGCAGTAAGAAATGGAGGCTGATCAAGCTTCTTGCAGGCAAACATCTAAATGCCCTGCTGTGATGTCACTTCCGGTTCTCCTAGCAGCCTTAAAGAGCCAGACACCAGCTGTGCAGAGAACAACTAGGAAAATGCAGGTAAATGTGTAAGGCTGGCTGGCTGGCTGGCTGGAGTGATAGCACAGTGGATAGGGTGTTTGCCTTGCACACAGCTGGCCCAGGTTCAATCATCTGCATTCTATATAGTCTCCCAAGCAGGGCCAGGCATGCAGAAGAGCCAGGAGTAACCCTTGAGCACCTCTGGATGTGACCAAAAAGAAAAAATAAAGTGCAATGTAGTGGAATGGGCTCACATGAAGGAGTGAAGAAGAGGTAGCTTCAGTGTTCAGTCACAAAGTGGGGGTCTGGAGATAGAAGTCACCTAATCCTGTATTGCACCCTTACTCTGAAGCCAGCCATGGAGATGCAGATAGAAACTTATCTCATAACAACCCAGAGAGCCGGAGAGACAGTGGAACAGGAGGAAAGGCTTCTACTTCTTAACAACACAAGAGCAGTGGACTCATGCTCATAAGGAAAACCCCAGGAGGCAGTTTCAGAAACAATATTTCAAACCAACAGTGCCTGAGGGGTAGTACAGTGGGTTGCCCACATGCCTTGAACTCGGTCAACCGGAGTTCAGTCCCTGACATCCCCAATAGTGGCCGGGAACCACCAGGAGTAACCCTTAAGTACTGTCAGATTTCCCCCAAAACGAAAATACATAATTAAGTACATAAAACACAGCATACAGACCAACCCCCATCATGGAGGTGTGCATGGGGCTTAAGGCAGCAAACCACACTGGTCACTTTGCAGCCTGGCTTGGCCTTTTGCACAGATCTACGTGGTGTTTACCATTTTGGTGAATATTAGATTATTAGGATTTTACTGCTTCCAAAGTAAAAGTCTCAAAACTTTTATCCTCAATGTTTGTGTACAGCGAATGGAAACCTGAATACAAGGAGTGCAGATATGCTACAGCAAATGGAGTGCTTTCTTGCATGTGGCTGACCTGGACAAAATTATGGACAGCACAGCGGGATGTGGCTCCCAGAACAGAACACAGAAAGGCCTGAATAATGGAGGTTTGGCTGTCTATTCAATGTCAAAAGGGTTCACTGCATCATCGTGGTTGATGATCCCCTGCAAACCTGACTTCTGAGCCAAGCCAGAGTCACAGCAAAGAATAAAACCATGGTGAGTCTTGACAGTATCCAGCAAAATGCAATTTTGTACCTATTTAATTCGTATTTATTTCCATCCACCTTGCTCTATCACTAAGAACCATTATTTACCAGTTAACTTACTGGGAAGACCAAATGCCAGGACAATGCCATAACCATGGTCCAGGTGATAATCAGCAAGTACATTTCACTTATGGTATTAGTATCACAGGAAGCTTTCACATATACCAGGATTATTTACCTCCTTACTGTACATTTGTATCAATCCCCCACCCCCTTGTTGAAAATAAAATTGTTTTACCTAAGGTTCATTTTCTGACTCCGGCCATTGTAATTATGGAAGTGATTGATCCAGAATAACTTTTTTTTCATTTTTTATAATGTATTTATATATATAAATATATAAAATATACATATAATATATGGAGTATTTGTGGGCTGGAGCGATAGCACAGCGGTAGGGCATTTGCCTTGCACGCAGTCAACATGGCCGACCCGAGTTCGATTCCTCCAGAGATGTGATTCATCTCTGTCAGTGCAAGGCATTCCGGGGTGAAGCCTTCAGTGATCTCCTGGCTGGAAGGAGGAGCTCTGAGACATGGGAGGAGAGGCGTGTGTGCAGGTGAGTGTCTGAGGACCCTTCCTGGCAGAGTTCTGGGCACTATGGGGGTACGCTGAGTGCAAGTGAAAAACGCTGCTGACCCCGGGAGCCTCGAACTCCTGGATCCAGGCCTCTGTGCTGTGCTCACACTGCTCTTCACTTGTCTGGACTCTCCCTCAATTATGATCCTGCACTTTAGTTTCTTGGCGTTGTTATCATTTATCCTGATGTGTTGGTACATACGATTCACAGCCCTTGGTGTCCCGCCCCTCCACCCCCCGCCCCCAGTCTGTACATTAGCAGCCTGGCTGCACAGCCTACATTGGTCGGGTGCTTGCAAAATATCTTTCGCCTTTTTCTGTAAATAGTGAATGAGTGATCCCGTAACAAAGCTAGTTTGGGCCTGAGTAATAGTATAGTGAGGACTGTGCTTACCGTGCACTTGGCCGACCTTGTACAATAACATGCATCCCATAAGTGTCCTGAACATCACAAGGTCTGGTCACAAAGTAAAACCTGAACATCTTGTGTGGATTGACATGCTGCTCACACCCATCATCTAATCAGATCTTCTGTTTGCTATGGGCCTGTTTGGATTGTGAGAACCAAGGAGATGTCCTCCACCCACACTGCCTCATTCAACTACATTTCTTTCAATGAATTCTTACACTGTGTATTGTATTTGATTTCAGAACTCAAACCGCAGATTCAGGATTTGACACTGCAGCAATTTGATATGGGAATGGTGTCATTGAGAATGAGTGAGCTGGTAAAATTTGGAACAGATATTATGCCGACAGGATACTCGGTGGACCAAGAGTGTGATCTTTAAAGTGGAGGGCTGGACACTACAGAGAAGAAATCTAGAGCCTACTGCTTGGTGTTGAGGCCCTTAGCTTCACTGGGTGGTGAAATCACTGCTCAAAACCTAAATAAATTTCTATTTTTTTCCTGAATCAAAAACTTAATATTTCATTTGATTGAACCTGGAAAATTGTTTCAAAATAACTATTTTGGGGCAGGAGCAGTAGTACAGTGGGTAATGACCCTATGGGGTGACAGGCGCCCACTGCTGATCTTGGATTTTGTTTTGTTTTGGGTGATTTTGAAGAGGATGAGCCACACCTAGTGATTCTCAAGGGTTACTCCTAGTTCTGCATTCCAGCATTGCACCTGGTATTGCTTGGGGGACCTGTGAAATGGCTGCGGCCACCAGCCCTAACCATTGCCCCTGGCCTGATATTCTTCTTGTTCCTCCATTATGCTGCTTTGTTTTCTTCCGTATTTATTTTTGTGCCACATTGGAGGCGCTCAGGACTTCATTTTGGCTCAGTCCTCTGGGTTCACAACTGATGTCATCAGTACCCCTGGGATGTGCGGGCCCCATAAGTGCTCTGGCAGCTACAGTGACTCAGTCCCAGGACGTGTGTTTCACCTCTTTTGTCTTTTCTGCTCTGGAGAGCCTTGCCTGCTGTGTCACACAGTCACATTCACACGATGTTGTGCACAATTCCAGGGATGCTCCAGTCCCAGGGAGATGGAGCAGAGAATCTTTGGGACTGAGTCACTACTTTCCGAGACAGATTTGTGACAAACCTGAACCAGGATTTCTGAGTCCTACAGGCACATATGTTACACAGAGTTCTGAGTACCTCGCTGAACATTGAGTTTCCCTTTTCATTCCTAGGACAAGAGTTGTGTGTATGGGGAATGCTTAGTATTTGGGGCCACATCTAGGATCACTTTATTGGTCTCTCTGAGTTTGTTTTCAGTTGTTACTCTTCAGTGCTCACTGGACTAGTGGTGCTGTTTTTGGCCCTGGGGTGTCTGTGTGTAAGGCTGACACCTAACAGGAACTTTGTACTATAGAATTCTCACATTTTATCAGATCCAGCTTCCGTAGAATGATTTCTGGGGCCTGTCAGTCAGGAATTTTGAGTGGAGGCTCGTTCTTCCTGAGAGGAGACACCCTGAGCTGAATGCTTCTAGGTTCCTGGTGGTTTCCTACTCACTGCCAAGGGAATAGGCTGGTGATGGACCCTAACTCCTGCTCCTGTATGTCTCCTGACTGAGGATGCGGTGACCTTTACTTAGGTGGCCATAACCCTCACCCCCGGAGTGGATGTGCTTGGCCATATATGAGAGAAATCTTTATAGGGACGTGATACTGGAGACCTATGAACATCTGCGGGCCATCAGTGAGAGCTGCGTGGGATCGTGTGCCAGGAGAGACCTGTAAGACATCTTGAGGACTGGACAGGGGCTGTGTTGCCATTACTCTGACAGCCAGGATATTTGACAGCTGTGCATTTCGCTGTTTCTCTACGTCCTTTCCTTTTCTCTGTTTTTGTTATTGGGCAACACCTCATGATGCTCAGGGGTTACCAAGGCCCTTTATTCAGTAATGACTTTAGGTGGGCTTTGGGGTCAAACTGAGATACAGGGCATTGAACCAGATCAACCACATGCCAGCGAAGCATCCTCCACATTGTACTGTCGCTCAAGCTCCTGTAAAAGGGTCCTTCCATTGCTAAATTAACTTCTTGTACTACCCTTCACTTCAATGCGTTTGCTTTGGTTTTGTTTTGGGGCCACAGTCCACATTCCTTCTAGCTCTGTGATGAAGGATCGCTCATAGCAGTGCTCAGGGGACCTTGGCTGTGCTGTGGATTTACCTGGTCAGCAGCTTACAAGGCTGGTACCTTAATCTTTGTACTACTGCCCCAGACCTGCAACTTCATTTATTACTTTTTTTTTTGTTTTGACTTGGTTTGCGTGCTAAACCCGGTAATGCTCAGAGATTATGCCTGGTTATTATTGAGGAATTTCTCCCGACAGTGCTCTGGAATCCATATGGATGCCAGGGATAAAAACTGTATGTGTGTATCAGGCACTTGCCCACCATGCTGGACTATCACTCCAGCCACTAGTTCATTTCTTTCTTAGAGCCTCACCCCATCAGTCGCTGCTCTATTTCACTACTTGGGGTCACTTCCATTAGTTCATGGGAGACTTCAGAAGGACCCAAATTTCACTCTTGAAATGAAACTTGGGTCTTATGTCCCTGATATCCACCAATCAGAGGCATATGGGAAGTGGAAATTCTGTTCATGCCTTTTATGTAATTTCACTTCTTTTATTAGGACACATGGAGTTGTCCTAGTAAGTTGTCACTTTTTTCCTTGTCACTAATCCATACATTGTCTCTGTGGAAGCAGGGCATTCTAAGGTGGAGTCTGGGTGATCTTCTGGCTGGAAGGAGGAGCCCTGAAGTCGGGGAGGAGAAGCGTGTGTGTGGGTGTGTGTCTGAGAACAATCCCTGGCTCGAGCCCTGGGCACCGTGTGGGTGCCGAGTGTGTGTGTGAAACGTGCTGCTGACCCCGGGAGCCTCAGGCTCCTGGATCCAGGCATCTGTGCTGCCTCATGCTGCTATTCCCTCCCCAGGACTCTCAATCACAGAATAATCCTCACTTTGCTTTCTTGGCTTTGTCACCTCATGTGTCAGGAGTGCAGAATCACGCAATGGTTTCTTGGTGCTCAGTCCCCCTGCCTTATCAGCCTGGCTGTACAGCCTGCAATGTCAGGTCTCTTTCCAGGCACAGCTGGATGCTCTGCCCTCACTGTCATGCTTATCTTTTTTTTTCTTTTTGGGTCACACCTGGCCATGCTTTAGGGTTAGTCCCAGCTCTGCACTCGGGAATTGTTCCTGTCAGTGTTCAGGGGACAATAATGGATGCTGGGATTCAAACCCGGGTCAGTCACGTGCAAGACAAATGACTTACCCACTGTGGTATCAGTCCAGCCCTGTCATGTTATCTTTGCCATCGGATAATTAGCATGGCTTTTCATAATATCAACAAAATGATTTTGTTTTTGTTTTGGGCCTGAAATACTCAGCTGTTTTTCCTGGTTGTTCACAGGGGTTAACTTTGGTGGTGCTCAGGGATCAGCCCCTGTCAGCCTCTTAGAAGGCAAATGCCCTAACTGCTGTTTTCTTCTACCCACTAAGGAATATTTTTGAATTTATGTTTAAATATTGAATGAGGGGGCACATAACAAAGCTAAATGGAGCTGAGAGATAGTACACACAAGTGTGCTTCCCTTGCACAGAGCCAACCCAGGTTGAATCTGGACATCACATATGTTCCCCCAGTCATCACTGTGTCTGGTCAAAAATGAAAACTCAGAAAGCTAATTTGGGGATTGTCAAGCTGCTCACGGCGATTCCCTCAATGGACCTCCCTTTGCTGTGGGCCTCTGTGGACTGCGAGAACCATGGAGATGTTCTCCACCTGCTCAACCTCATCTAATTATGCTCCATTTAATAAATTCTTTTTTTTTCTTTTTGATTCACACTTGGCAATGCACAGGGGTTACTCCTGGCTCTGCACTCAGGAATTATTCCTGGTAGTGCTCAGGAGATCATATGTGATGCTGGGAATCAAATACGTGTTCGCCGCTTGCAAGGCAAACACCCAACCCACTGTGCTATCGCTCTAGCCCCGCATTCAATGAATTCTTACATTGCATTTTTTGTTTAATTTCAGAACCTATCCCCGGTATGTGTGGTTGAAGAATCTGCTCTACCTGCTTTACTATCTTTTAGCGCCTAACTTTATATTTTTATGCATCCAATTTTGTTTTGTTTTGTTTCATTTTTCGGCCATGCCGTGATATTAGGGGTGACTCTGGGTTCTGCACTCACATATCACTCTTGGTGTTTGCTTGGGGGATCATATGGGATCCGGGGATTGAATTGGACCTGTTGTGTGCAAGGCAACAAAAGTGAAGATTGTGTTGTTTGCGTACTTTCAGTAACTTGGCTGGCTATATCAGGGACATATGGGCTAGACCTCTCGCCTTTTTTTGTCACTAGTCTCTACATTGATTCTGTGGGGGCAGGGTATTCTAGGGTGTAGCCAGCTGTAATCCCCTGGCTGGTAGGAGGAGCCATGAGGCTGGGGAGGAGAGGTGTGTTTGCAGCTGAGTGTCTGAGCACCCTCCCAGCCTGGAGCCCCAGGCATCGTGGGTGTGCCCTGAGTGTGTGTGAAACATGCTGCTGACCCCAGGGGGCCTCGGGCTCCTAGATGCAGGCATCTGTGCTGTACTCACACGGCCCTTCGATTCCCTGGGGTGATCCGGTGCTTTGCTTTCTTGGCTTGTTCCATTCTTCTTCATTAGCCATGCGGGTCCTTTGTACCCCTTTCTCTTAATAAGCCTGGCTGCGCAGCCTGTATTGCTGGGGTGCCCTTTTCAGGAGCAGCAGAACCACCTTGCACCCCGCCCTCTCTGTCACTAAGCTTGTCTTTACCCTCAGATCATTTGCATTTGAGTATACGGAGACATTTTGTTTTGTTTTGGTTTGGGGTCTGATGTTCCCGAAGGGTTTATTCCTGGCGGTGCTCAGGCGTTCCTTTCGGCAGTGCTCAGAATCCTGCCCCTGTCAGCCTTATGCAAGGCAGATGCCCTACCTTCTATTCTCTCTCTGACCCATTACAAAATGTTCTTTTGCTTTTATGTTAAAAAGTCAATGAGTGACCCTTAATAACGCTAGATTGTGCTGAAGTTATAGTATAGTGGGGAGGGTGCTTGCCTTGCACTGGGTTTGATTCGCAGTATGCTATATGATCCCCAGATATCCCTGGGTCTAGTCAAATAGAAAACCCAAAAGGGTAGTGTGTGATTGCCAAGCTCCTCCCGGCGATAC